TATTTTTGTATCCTTGAGGAGGTGCATTTCTGTGGCTCACAGGCACTAACCAGAGAGGAAAGTGGAGATATTGGCTTCTTTTTCAGTCCGGAGGGAGCACTGTCACGGCCCTCCAACTACCACAAATTATGCAGTTAGGTTTCCCACATTCGGGGAAATCGTAGGGGTCAGCACATCCAGAGTGCGGTGAATAAGCCTCACCCTGGGAAAACCACCTTCGGGATCACGGTGTCTCTCCTGCCAGGGAAGTGTGGGAAATGTTTGCCTTAACACAGAACTGGGACGCTGAAAGCACTGTTTAAGACCGGGTGCGGTACCTTAGGACACAGCCAAGCACAGCTTGGTTAATTACACTAAGGCCGATCGAAGTGGGTCTGGATCTGAAGCTTGACCCGATTCTCAGATGCTACCAGGGTGTCCTATAATCCAACTCACTTCCTGCATTATCTACCTGGGGATCGCATTAAACCTCCAGGGTTAGGGATTCAGTCTACAGCGTGCCCTCACCTCAGCCCCTGTAACCACTGGCTCTTCTCCAGAGGGCCTCGGGCTTCCTCCCCTCTGTGATTCTGCACGTGCTCGTCCCCTGCGTGGGATGCCTACCCCAAGTTCCCCCATGCCATGGCTGCCACCCTTTGAGTAAGAAGCACCATCTCATATTGCTCCTCTAAACCTATTCAAGTGCAAGCCCTCATGGGCCTCCACAATTAAAGGTTATACCCTCCTCTCATAATCCTGTTAGGGCCAATTATGTGTGGGTTTTTTTTAAGATTTTATCTGTTGCCCTGGCTGGCGTAGCTCAGTGGATGAGCTTGGGCTGTGAACCAAAGTGTCACAGGTTCGATTCCCCGTCAGGGTACATGCCTGGGTTGCAGGCCATGACTCCCAGCAACCACACATTGATGTTTCTCTCTCTCTTTTTCTCCCTCCCTTCCCTCTCTAAAAATAAATAAATAAAATATTAAAAAAAGATTTTATTTGTTTATTTTAGAGGGGAAGGGAGAGAGGAAGGGAAACATCAGTGTGTGGTTGCCTCTCACACGCCCCCTGCTGGGGACCTGGCCACACCCCAGGCATGTGTCCTGACTGGAAAACCAACCAGCAACCCTGTTGGTTCGCCGGCCGGGGCTCAATCCACTGAGCCACACCAGCCAGATGTGTTTTTACGGTAGCATCTATCACATTGCTATGACCTGTTGCAGGCAGATACTGTTCCTTTGTTTTCTGAGTCCTAGCAAACTGCCTAATACCCACCTAGTTGTTTGTTTAATAAATACTGAATATTAGTTACAGCATAACTGCAACTGAGCTAAGGGAATATTAGGCTGCATTAATAGCAGTGGAGTGCTCAGAATTTTTACCTCTAATGACTGTACTTAGAGGAAGACATGGAGGAAGTGTAATGTCCACCTGACAGTGTCGGGTGTGCTAACACCATGATGTCTCTCAGAGCTAGGAGGCCTCAGCTCCCTTAGAATCTCTGAAGGGCCACAGAGGAAGCAGCTGACAAGAACTGCTGAGCGTCTCACCCAGTGTTGGGTCATCCTGGTGTGTGTTCATCAGCACTGAAATGTACTGTGACTTACTTGTGCTAATAAAAGCTGAAGGGCTGAAGTCGGAAAACAAGTACTTTTTCCCTCGCCTTGAACTAGAACGGATTCAAGGCTCCTTCTCTAATGCCACTCCTGCCCACTGATGTTCCAGTTTGCTTTGCTTTGCTTTGATAGGGACAGGGTTAGAACGGACGGGCCCAGAAACCGGGTGGAAGCCACAGTCTACCTTATCTTTGCATTTGCGCTGGCAGATGTCAGACGTGTGAATGGTATCTATCCCAGGAGGAGGGGGGAGAGAACGCAAGAGAATCCTAGATGAGAAACTCCTCCAGAGCTGGGAACGTGACTCGTCATTTTGTATCTGTCCACAGGGCCTGGTAGTTACCAGAGCCTGGAAGTGAAGGTCTGGGGAAGGGGTCAGTGGGAGAATAAGAGGAAGAGAGAGTGGAAGAAAACGTGGCAAACATTTTGAAAAAGGAATGAAGGAAAGAGGGAAAGCAAAGAAATAAAGAGGGCTTATTTTATTCCTTGCTTTCTCAGAAACATTCAGTTGTTTTTCTTTTAAGATTTTATTTATTTATTTTTAGAGAGGGAAGGGAGGGAGATAGAGACAGAGAAACATGAATGTGTGGTTGCTGGGGGTCATGGCCTGCAACCTAGGCATGTGCCCTGACTGGGAATCGAACCTGCGACACTGGTTCGCAGCCCGCGCTCAATCCACTGAGTTACGCCAGCCAGGGAAACATTCAGTTTTTAACAGGACGAGAAAAACCACAGCAGTATAAGCTGCTCAGACTATGGGAGACTGGATAAGATGATTTCTAAGTTGCTAGTCAGTCCTTTGATCTATGATTTTAGGCTTTATTTCTCCAGCAATGCTTTTGAGTGAGTTGTGGCATTTAATACATACTTATTAAATAGAATTATAATCTAAAATAACCCCGAAGCAGAAAAGCAAACTTTCCTGATATTTCTGCTATACAAAAAAGTTTATGTTACTTTCCAAGTCAGGTCTTCATAGTTTCAGGAAGAGACTGGCAGTGGGTTTGCGAAATTCAGCTTCTGTTTGTTCCCCTGTAAGATGCTCTGTGGCTTTCCTGGAACTGTGCAGAGCCGAGGAACCTTGTGATTTTTTTTTCCTTTTAGGTTAAAAGAAATAACAGATACATATTTAAAGTAATTTAATTTATTATGTGGATGGGAGGAAATTGAAGGGTTTTTTCCCCCTTTAAGAGAATCCAGAGAGCGCTTTCTGCTTGGTAGACACCCCCAAAGCCTGAGCTGCAGAAGCTCCCAAGACAAACCAGTGAAGGTGAAGAAACCAGAAAGCAAAATAACAACAGTAACCACTGCCCCTCCTAAATATCTCAGTAATAAAAGAGTTCTTAGCGTTTTGGCCCTTCAGAATACAAGCAGCCCTTAATAAAGAAGGAACTGATGCCCTCTCCAAGGACAGTTGTACCTTGGCTCTGCTCATTTCACGTAATTCTGAGCTCAAAGGCTTTTCCTTCCTCTGCAGCACCTTGCTTGAAACACAGCAGTAATTAATGCACGCTGCTTTGATTTCATAAATAAAAAGCCTGCACAAGTTAGGACAGTTGGCAACTTTCATTGGAAAAAAATAACATTTTCAGTCTTTTACTTTTTAATATTATTTTCATGAAGAGTCAAACTCTGCCCATTGACACTGGCCCAAATGCTATGACACTGCAAAATTAAGATCATATAAAGCTTTTTGGTTTTTTTTTTTTGCCTCTTTTGGACACTACAGTCTGCCCACATTGAGTAATGAACTCACTTAAAAATTCCTTTTGTTGTTTACAAAGAAAGTATATTTATTAAAAATAAGTATACTGTCTGCTTCCGCTGTGATATAACATGATGCCATTTGTATAGATAATAGCCCAGATCTTACTCTCCAAGCATAATAAATATTTGTCCCCTCCTCTTGTGTGGCTCCCTGTTGGCAGCCTCTGCAGAGGACAGTCATCACATTCCTGGCCTGGATTTTGGCTCAACAGTTCAGAGGCCCCCAGGCAGATTACAAACTGTGGCAGAGTGTGTGGGGGTCTCTTGTTTGTACACAACAGATTCGTCATAAATTTACCAAGAATTCAGATAATCCTTCTGTTTCAGCCTTTACCTGTAGATCATGAGAAATATGGTGGGGATCCACGGCGCCCTCCTCAACTGCGTACTGTTACCAGAATAAAATGTACCAAAAGATGTCCACATTGGGGAAGAGATGTAATAAAGATGCTTGGATTAGAAAAAGTACATTCTCAAGTTCACAGGAACATCCATCCCTTCAGTGAACGAAAAACCGAAAAGTGGTTCAACACTTGATAAGAGTCCAGCCCCTCAGCTGCCCCAAGGACGCCCAAGGAGGGCATGCCCACACGTGCCTCCAGGGCCCTGGGGAGTTAGTGCGGTGGCATCCCAGCCCCCTGGACCAGAAAGCAATTAAGTCTTAATGCCAGAGCTGTTTCAGATTGGAAAGTGCAAATCATTTTCATTTACAGATGGTGAGAAAGTGTTCTCATTAAAATATAGTTTAAATGCCGCTCATTTTTACTGACATAAAAAAAACAACTGTTGACTGATCTGTTGGGTGCAACTGTAAGCGTTATTTTCAGTTCAGTGAAAGTCTACATTTTAAGGGTAATCTAAAATGCAATTCGCATGCCTCAAAATGTGTGGGTAATATCCCAGTCCTTGAACCCCAATATATTCACACACATCCCCAACCTAGTCCTTCCATCAGAGCCTGCTTGGGGGAGGAAACTGCAGGAAGGCGTCCAGGTGGAAGCAAACCCCACAACGCCGTTCGAGCTGTCGCGGTGCCGAAGGGCAACTTACGGGCTCAAAGTAAAAAAATAAAAAATTTAAAAAAATTGGAAAAAAAAAAAAAGGAGCGGCGGGAGGGGGGTGGGGGACTCGTCACAGAAGTAACTGACAACTGCCCGTGGCTGCGGGATTCCACCCGCGCAGGGAAAACGCAAAGGCTGGAAGGCGGTGGCAGGGCGGTGTCCTCACCACGTTCCAGTGCAGGCTGCACTGGGAACTAGCCGCCCATCCGCTCGGCCCGAGCGCGCTGCAGGCACCGCAGAGCGGCCCCCCGACCCGGCAGAAATCGGCAGGGCAGACCCCAGCGGGGAAGGAGCCCGGGGGGCGGGGGGGGGGCGGCCCTGGGGGGCGGCCCTGCCGGCCGGCCGGCCGTCCCGCGGGCAGGTGGGCGGGCGCCGCGCGGCGGAGATGCGGGCGAGCGCGGGAGACGGTTCCCGCCCCGCCAGGGGGAGCGTCTGCGCCGGCGGCGGCGGCGGCGGCGGGGCCTCGGCGGGCTGCGCTGGGCGGCGGCTGGCGGCGGGGCCCCCCTCCCGCGTCCCCACACCCCCGCCCGCCCCCGGCGCGGCCCTGCCCGCCCCCTCCGCCCCCTCCCGCGGCGCCATGCGCAGGCTCAGTTCCTGGAGGAAGATGGCGACGGCCGAGAAGCAGAAACACGACGGGCGGGTGAAGATCGGCCACTACATCCTGGGCGACACGCTGGGGGTCGGCACCTTCGGCAAAGTGAAGGGTGAGGACCCCCGGGCGAGGCCGCGCCGCGGCCCCGGGACGGCGACTTCCGCCCCGCGCGCCGCTTCATCCCCCACGCCCCCTGCGTCCCGCGTCCCCGGGCTCGACAGCCCCGCTCCTGCGTCCGGCGGGCGCGGAGCCCGAGGCCGCGGCCGGCCGGGGCCCTCCCGGGCCGGTGGGGGTGGGGCGGGGGCCGGTCGCCATGGCGACGGCGCCGCGGCCGGGGGCTCGCCCGCGCGAGGGGCGGAGACGCGGCGGGACGAACTTTCCCAGGTGCGGGCGGGGGCTCGCGGCGCGCTCCGCGGGCGCCCTGGTTCGCCCCGGCGGGGCGCGCTCGCTCGGCTCGGGGCCAGCCCACCGCTTGCCTGGCGTTTCTCGGCTTTGTCCGCGTTTCCGTCCTGTTCGGGGGGCTGTCGGCGTGCCTGCCTCGGCTGATTCTCCAGTGTGAACTGTGTCCCCCCCGAAGTCAGGTTGCTTTAGGGGTAGCTTACACAATTGGAAAAAAAAAAATGGCCATCCTGTCGGAAAGGGTGACTAATTATTTTTCGGAGCAGCCGATGCACAATAACCTGGTCCTGTGTTTGCGATGCCTGGTTTCTGTTCTGAGTGCAGACTCGCCTGCAGCGTTTCCGAGGGACCCCCTTGCAGTCCCTGCGCCGAGCCCGACCCTGGCAGCTCGTGCGGATGTTGCACCCGGATAGTGTTCACCAGATCGTTAATGGAGTTCCTTTCCCTCTGTTTTCACAGGGCATTTACGTCTTAATACGCAATTTAGTGCGCATCATTTGAACTTTGTTTTTTTTTTTTAAGAAAAGTGTGTGGATTCTCTTACTCGTGTGTTTCAAACAGTATTCTGCAAATAGCAAACTTGTTTGTTCTTTGGTCCATCAATTTAGGCTCAGGAAGTTTAAAACTTTGTGAGGCATATTTTTTTGTCTTTAAAACATTTGACTTTGTTATCAGGGAGGCAGAGGAAAAAAGTATGACACTGACAAGAATTCATGCCTTGGCTTTCCAGGAGCAGCCTGTGACTTGCAGGTAATGTTTGACTGGAAAGTCGGAAAAGTTGTGAAAGTCTGTACAGTGAATTAACTAACTGAGCCTTGTTCTACTAGAGTTAAATAAACACTTTCTGATTTTATCTGGGGTTGGAACAGGAGAACCCTTCCTTCTTTTGCCCTTTCTCACTCACAGAACTGAAAAATTGCTGTAGAGCCGCACAGGGAAGCAACTGTCGAAACCTTCTGATGAAAATCAGCAGGGCCAACAATGTACAAAAAGCAAGAAGCAAATGGCAGAATAGGGTGATAGCATCCATGTGGGTGGGTCTGTATTAGGTCATGAGATGGTCGTGTTCCCCAGGTTATTTGTTTATTTTGGTGTGCTGTCTCTTTGCTGGTTAGCAATTGCAGACTGCTTTTAGTTTACAAGTACTGGTAAGAAAAGTTCATTTGTCCCTCCCCCTGCCCCAAATGGTGGTGGCCGTGTTGACACCTTCGCCCCTTCCACAGCTCTGCTTGGGTTGGGATGCTCGTTCTCCTAGTACAGACCTGAGCAGAGTCAGGTCTCTTTTTTTTAATGTTTTTTAAATTTGTTAGGCGGCTTTTGGCATAGCAGATAGGAAGGCAAGAGGAAATTTTTTTGTTTTGTTTCCCGGATCCGGTCTGTGATGTGGTTGTGGCGTGAGCGACAGTGACTTACTGTCCCTCACCCTCCCCTGCCCCCCCAGTGCCTCACCGTCCAAGACAGTAACTTCATCAGATGTAGCAGGGCCCGTGTGAGCCGCGGGATCCTAGGTCTCATAGAGACGGCTCAGCTTGTTCGTAAATACATCATTGGGTGTTGGTCAGAATCCTTAACCAGTGCATTTGTAAGTTGTTAAAGAGTTGGGGTGCTTTGTGCCCCGATAGACAATTCAACTCAGCCTAGAGAGAACATCTCTTTCTGCAATTCTTTCCGGAGGAAATGTTGGTGTTCCTCTCATGAACCTCATTGGCTCTTCCAGTCCCTCTGGCCAGGGATGCCCTGTGCCAACTGGCTTAGGCTTTGGTTCCTAGGTAGGCACTGGCAAGGGGAGTGGAATTGCCCTTGGAGGGATATGGCCACTCGTGTGTGTGTGTGTGTGTGTGTGTGTGTGTGTGTGTAGCAGGTGGGGGAGGGGAACCTTCTTCTGAAGTACTTGGATAGTGTAGGGGGACAGGGTAGATCCCCAGACAGAAATGGATATTCTAGGGAGAGAAGGATATAGTTGCTCAGTGAACAGGCAACAATAGCTCCTCTAGTGGTGATACCGGCAAAGAACACTAGCCTTAATGTGACGAGAATTGTTAAGAATAATATGATTAGTCATATATTTCAATGGAGATAATTTGGAGTAGAAAGAGCTTTTAAAGTTAGCTAAACACACTGGTAAAATTAACATAGAAAAGGAATCTATGAGGGAACTGTAAATTTATGATGATTATTTTGTTTCCTATTACAGGCTAAAGAAAAATCCTTTGGTAACTTACCCCTGACGTTTTGAGGGGAAAGTTTAAACAGACAACTAGGGTTAATTTGGAACTGTGCTTGAATTGTCTTTTGTCACTCCCAGGCCCCCACACCTGTAGTCAAGGTGTCAGTCTCCCCTCCGTTGCTGGTCCACGCCCCGTTCCTCCAGGTGGACCAGTACCAAGGCCCCACGAACAAAGACTCGGAACAAAGACTCACAGGATGCTGCAGTCAGTCAGAATGGCAGTGTTTTGTCAGTGCTCCCAGAGAAGGCTGCCTTTGCGTTGTTTGTGTGTAGACTCTATTTAGTTGATGAGTATTTCCACATAAAACTGCAATGTCAGTTAAATAGGTGAGTGTTTTCTTTGTAAATGAGTCACAGGGCAAGTTGTTTAAACATTTAAGTAAAAAATCTATATATGAACTATATATATCAGCATGGGTGAATCACAAGTATATAAAATTAGGTCACTAAAGCGGAAGAAGTAGAAGGATATGTATACTCGATATTTATGTAAATTTAAAAAAACATGCAAAAACATACATTGCTGGTTGGAATACAAATTGGTATCATCCCTCTAGAGTGTGACAGTATTTATTAAAATTAACCCAGTAATTCAACTTATAGGAATTTATTCTATATACTCCTGTGTGTGAAATAATGAGTCATTCATTGTCATATTGTTCGTAAATGCAAAAGATTGGAAGTAACTTTCTAATAGGATTATGGTTAAATTATGGTTTATTCATATAGTGATATGCCTTGCAAAAATAAAAAAAAACCAAGAGACTATATAATTTAAGAAACAGTTTCCAAGGTGTATGTTTTTTTTAAAGATTTTATTTATTTATTTTTAGAGAGGGAAGGGAGGGAGAGAGAGAGAGAGAGAGATATCAATGTGCAGTTGTTGGAGGCCATGGCCTGCAACCCAGGCATGTGCCCTGACTGGGAATTGAACCTGCGATGCCTGGTTTGCAGCCCGAGCTCAATCCAATGAGCTATGCCCGCCAGGGCCCAAGGTGTATGTTTTAAAAGGAAAAGTAAGGGAGTAATAGAACAATACCTATAGTATACCTTCCATTTATGGACAAAAGCAGGGCAGCTATGTATCTAATTGTAAACACTTGCTCCTGTATAGAGTGTCTCTTTAAAGATACAAATGAAACGGTGTTACATTAGTTGTTCAGGGGAGGGGAAGTAGGTCGCAGGGAGACATTTCACTGTGTATCCTTTTGTACTTTTGAAGTGTGTAGTGAAAGAATACACAAAATTAAATTGGCAAGCTAAGCATGGGAAAACAATCTTCCTGTATTGTTTGTGGACTCATACTTGTGGGAAAGGCAAACACCACGTTCAAGAGAGGGGTTACCTCTGGGGAGAGAGGGAGGAGACGCATCTGGGAGGAGCCACACTGGGCTTCAGTTGTACTGTCTAATGCTTGAGCCATGGGGGTGGGGGGCCGTGAGACGTGGATGTGTGGCGTGCCTTTCGGGGCGCCTGAAATGTTTTGTAAAAAGGTAGCTGTCTCAAATTTCCACGTACAGCTGTTAAAGCTTACCCCTCTCCAGGGCAGCTTTCTTCGCTAGTATTTTTAGTCGTGAGATTTCTATCCTTTTGATTTTAGAATGGGAATGACATCGTTAGGTGATTAGAATATTCTCAGTAGATATTTCTGTCTTTGTGGGTGGCATCTCTCTCCTATTTAAAATCCTCTCTTTCAAAGTATGATCTTGATTCAATTCAGGATTACGTATCTGATTAGAAGAGCATTCGTTACAGTGTCCCACAGTGAGACAGAGTTCCCTTTGGAGAGCAAGAGAGGGTCTCCTTAGCTAATATTTAGTTGACAGCTCTGCCCTTTCTTGGGAGGGAGACGGGAATTCCGGTAACCTTTGCTGTCAGTTGTCTGCAGGTGTCCCGTTTCGTCCAGAAGCAGCACCTCCGCACTACTGCAAAGCAGTGGCAGTGTGGAGAGTAAAACTTTGGGCTTTGGAAAGGGGGGCATCTCAGCCATGCATCTCCTGGCACAGTCCACTTCTGGCTCTGACTGATGAGGGAGGAGCACTTAATTTGGCTGCAACTGAGTTTCGTCGGTGGGGAATCTCCAGTCTCGTTTTGAGAAAGCTAGGATTATTGCGAGGCTGAAATGCGACCATGTGTATTTCCTAAGGTGTAGGACACTATAGTTCTGCAAGTATTGTGCTTCTGAAATTCTAACATTGAAGTATTTCGGTAACTGAGTTCAAGGCAAATATTTCTGTTCCTATCAGTAAGGAAAGCACAGATTATCGTAGGATGGCGTTAAACTGCCGAGATGTGCTGGGAAGAAAGAGGGAGTAAGAGAGCGGTCAGACTGCTCACTGCCCGCTCTGGGAGAGTCATCAGTGTGGGGGCATTGTTTTAAAACCTCAGGAGGAACAACCTCTCCAGTTAAGTAAGACTGGAATACCAGGCTAGACAACTTTTAACGGGGTTCTTTACTACTGGGCATTTTAGAGCCTTTGCTGTGT